GGCTCCCCTGGGGCGGGGGTCGGGGCCGGGGCCGGGCTGTGGGGCGCTGGCGCCCGGCGGGCCGCGCTTAGAGAAAAGGGCTCTGCAAAAATGGCGACCCGCGGGAAAAACGCCGTTTCCGGGCCCTTTTGGTGTAAGGCGAGGCGTTTTAGTGACTGAGGGTTACGGTTAGGAGGAGCTGATGTTTTAACGAAGACCGTAGTTGGAGGGGTTTCGTCTGTTTGGTTGTTTTTTAAGGGCTGTGTTGCTATCGGTCGGGGAGATCAGGCACCTTTACGTCGTTCTCGGAACATTGCCGGTGGCGTCAGCTGCGGGGAGCAAAACCGAGGAGCAGTAGGAAGGGCTGAGCTAGTTCTAGCACATGTAGCTTGTTTGCGGGGAAAAAAAAAGAAAAAAAAAAAAAAAAAGGGGGAGCCTTCAGCGCCTGTCACCGTGTTTTCGTGGCGCTCCGAGGGCGGCCGGGAACGAGAAGGTTCGTTTGCTGCGGTTCCCGGAGCAGAGTCTGGTCCGGGTTGTGTCAGGCGGACCTGCGAAGCACCGCAAAAGGCTCGGGAGAAAGTGCTTTGTTTGATTTCTTTTGCGGTAGGCTGGGGCTGGGTAATTTTTATTTCGATTATTACAGAAGCAGCTGGTAGAAGTGTGAGCCAAAGTACAGCTCTGCAATACTTCGCTCTTCTGTGGTTAATCTGGTCACCCGTGTGGAGAAATACCTGGGAGCGATGTTACCTGTCTGTCGGCAGTCCCAGAGAGGGTTAAATAGTGAGGAATTAAAACGGCATTGTGTGAAACTTTTTTTTTTTTTTTTTTTGGACATAGGGCAAGGTGATACTTAAGCTGACTGTCTAACTTGGCTTTTTAGGGGGGAAACAAATAATTCCTTGCTCAGTGGACTTGACCAAAACATTGTGTCTGTGCTAGTACGTGAAAACAAATTTGTGTAAAACCAAGTGCCTAGCTAGCTGTCAGGGTTTTTGATGTGTAGCTTAGCGGCAAATCAGTTTTCTTCATTGGCATGAAGAATTCTAGTTTTATTTTAAACTGAATGGATTCTGAACAGTGCGAGTACTGGTGTTGCCAGTTTAGCAGCGACTTTAACCTAGAGCATTCCAGTTTCAGTGACAATGTCTGTCTGCATTTAGTGTCTCCTGAGGCTACAGGCGGGTGTTTGAGGAGTACATGCGGGTTATTAGCCAGCGGTACCCAGACATCCGAATTGAAGGGGAGAACTACCTTCCTCAACCTATATATAGGTAAGCAAATGACTGGCAGTACAAATTCTCTTTTTTCCAATATGTAGGCTCAGCACGGTGAGTTTTGAATATGTGCATTTACGCTTAAATAATATTGAAAATGAGAACTTAAGGGTTTTTTTGCATTATGGTTACATACACCTTGGTTATCTTCTCCCTTCCAGGTAGCCACCTTAGTTTTCCATCTGGACATCCATATGATGAGGCCTGTCATGTTTCAATCCAAAATAAATTATGTAATTAACTTCTTTTCACAGTGAATTTTTCCAGCTCTTCTTCATGATGTATCTGGATGTAAACTCACATTTGTTGCTCAGACTTATGCCCTTAGTGACAAATTCCTGTAATAGGTTAAGGCTGCAAAGGAGGGAGGAGTTTGTTTTTAACATCTTAAGTCAGGGGAGAGCCGACCTCATCGGAGAGACTACCAGGGTGACCTTAACTATGGGGGTGGGGAGGAAGTCCAAAGAAATTTGGAAAAAGGCAAAGCGAAAATAGTGTTATTCCTATTATTTAAACCATTGTGTACATGCTAGAGAGCGATTCCATAGGTGCTGTGGTGGCTTCTGAACCACTTCTTGACCTAATTACTGTAATAATTACAACGGTAAGAATGCTACAGGATCAAATACCTCGGTGTCAATTTGCTCTCTGACTATAGGTTTAATTCTTAGAAAAAAACTGTAGGGTTTTCTGCATCTGCTGGGAAAATGCTTTACAAGGAAGTAGTGCATGTCAATTAGACATGTCTCTATAATATGGAACAACTTCTTTAAGAAACTGAATGTATTATCCAGTTTAAACATGTATAAGTGGAAAGCAAATTTCTATTTGACATCTGCTTAGGAAAAAAAAATCTGTATGCGTGGTGTACACAATAATATCCTTCTGAGGATGCGTGGTTTTGTTCGTGTGTGTTGCTTTTTTTTTTGTTTTTAACAGTGAGATAAACTTGGTTGAGAAGTTTTGTGTTTTCTTTGAAACACTTGATTGTACACTATCAAAATGCTGCTAATTAGGTGAATTACAGCTATATAATGGTGAAGTAGTAACTGTGAACCTTCTAAGTCACTTTTATGTGTTGTCTTTTGATAGGCACATAGCATCCTTCCTGTCTGTCTTCAAACTAGTATTAATAGGCTTAATAATCGTTGGCAAGGATCCATTTGCTTTCTTTGGCATGCAAGCTCCAAGTATCTGGCAGTGGGGCCAAGAAAATAAGGTAAACAGCATACTTAATTCTTTTATTTTGAAAAAGCAGTTTTAGAATGACTTCATGAGAGTGCTCTGGGAGTACGTCACAATTGTTACCACTTTTAACTTTCACACACTGCAGCCTTAACAGAACTTTTAGGTTTCTATAACTAAATACACTTGAGAATTTAACAGTAGCGTTATTATCCTTAATAGTTGTGCTTCATGTTTTTGACAGACACGGCTTTGATTCTCAGCATCTCTTTCGAAGCTGATGACGCTGCAGAGGGGCAGTGAGGTTAACATTACTGACAAAGATGATAAAAAATTTTTTTTTTTTATCTTTTTAGGGCTCAGAAGTAGAGTTTCAAGCTGGTGTTGTTGGCGTTACAATTACAGCTTCCCTTTTCTATTGTCTCATAACTATTTTGCAGTTGCTGCTTTCATGAGACTTGTAATAAATTAGGCATGCAATTAGATGGTGGTTAGAAAAATCAAGCTGAAATTTTGTGGGTGTTTTTGCAGAACATACTCAGGCATGACAGCCTATGCTTTGTGGGATGAATATCCCTGTGAGTCAGTACTGATGGTGCTAAGAGATTAATGTTGTTGTCCTCTGAGTTATAGTAACCTTATTCCAGATTTATTCTACTAAACAAAAGCAATGAATAAGTTTATTAACTTTTATTTTATTGGTGCACAGATCCTCAAACTGAGCTACCCAGTGCAGTGGGTCTCTGTCACCAGTCAGTTTGAATGTACAGAAGCTGTAATATATCCTGTTCAATTAAATGGGCCAAATACACTACCAGGCTAGGCTGCCTGCAGTACGTCTGTGGTCTGTGATGCTGTAGACAACTAACTATCTCCCATGCTAAATTCTTTGGTATTGCAGTAACCGTGTGAATGGGCCCTTGTGCATGAAAAGGGAATTATAAAGGTGCTGGTGATGGAGGGAGATGCTGTGTTGCTGAAGATTGCATCATTTCATCCTGAGGCACCAATACACACAGAAAATTCCAGATGATTAGCTTGAAGAAATGCTAGAGAGCTGACAGTTCTTGTGAACAAATGCAATTTGACTTGCTTTGCTGTTTGTGTCTAGGCCTGTGGTTCTTTGATCTGAAGTGTTACTCTGACAATGGCAGGCAACATGTAGAAACAGTTTGTGTTCCCTTGGCATCGTAGCCATGTACTTCTGCAAACTGGCTGTCAAGATGTACATTGATTTGTGGAGGAAAGGATCGAGAAGATGGAACTTGGTTTGAATCAGGATTGTGAGTTGGGTGATTTCAGAACTATTTTGATACCTGTCTAGGGAAGGCAATGTGCACAATCTTTTTAAAAAGAGGATGAAAGATGTCTGTGCGATTAGAAGATTACTTGCTAAACTGCAGAGGGGAATTCAAAGACACCTGCAAACATCTAGCGCTTATTAAGAGTGAGTAAAATAAGCTGTGGCTCACACAGCTGAAGTATCTGGGACTCTCTCTGTTCTCTTCTAGGTTTATGCTTGTATGATGGTCTTCTTCCTGAGCAACATGATTGAGAACCAGTGTATGTCAACAGGTGCATTTGAAATAACTTTGAATGGTGAGCTGAGAACTTTCTGTTTAAGGGAATGACATTGGGTTGCATGTGTATGCACAGATTGGTGAGAGCTGCTGTGTTGGGACAATGAGGGATGATGTTAGGAAATGTGGTGTGTTTCAAGATATGACGGCATGCGGTAATCGCCATCCGTTTTGAAACTTCAGGTGTTATATATGACAATAAATGATGAAAATCATGGAAGTTTTATAAAGCAGCCTGTACAGATGTTAGTACGTATGTTTTAAAACAGCTATGTAAAAACTTATGAGAGGAATGCTTGGTCGCTTGGGGTAACTGTATTATGTTCTTTCTTTGCGTGTGATGTGCATTAAATAAAAAATAATCAACTAGGGAAGCATACTCTCTAGTTAATTAGATGCTTTCCCTATCCTGTTTCATGGTTTAGCCTTGGAATCCTATTGAATCCATTGCTATTCCCAGTTTCT